TCGAAACCAAAGATCAGGGGCCCGATGAAACGTCCAAACGAGCCGAAGGGCTGGTTTTAAGTCACATTAAGGATCTCCGCCCACAGGGCCATGATCTCAGATGTTAGTAAGATTATCCCTTGCACCGATAAGGACCCCTGAGACAGAGCGTTCCTCAATTTTGACCAGAGATTACGAACAACGAACAGTCGGTCCCGTGTTTCTCTGAGCTCTGGGGCCTATTTCCCAAGCATAGACAAGCCTGGGCCCGAGATTTCCATTGGTCGAGCTCCTGTATCGCTCAGGGGCCTACAGTGCGCAGCAGGGCATTCTGTGTCAACAAAAGGCCTCAATTCGGTCACGGTAAATTTGCTCAACAGGAACGGGGGTGGGATCCCGAATGACAGAGGGTCTCTTGAGTTGGTCGGGGCCCTCTGACAATCAAAGGAAACATAGGAACTTATAATGAGTGCTCACATTGAAGCACTAGAGGAGTCCGTTGTCAGTCAGGGCCCCCAGTACCGAACGGTGGGCGCTCCAACCCTATTCCAGTATAAGCCCGTTAAGTCCAACAGGAGTCCATGTGTCAATCATTTGACCACCTTCGGCGAACAGGGATGTTATTGCGTTAATGATGGTTCATGCGTCGATCCGGGGTCAACTGCGTGGATCAGAAGGCCTCCCATACGCCTATGCATCTGCTCCTCACCAGCTTAACTCTCACGTACATGCATGGATGAACACAACGGCCACCGCAACAAACGCTCCATTTCAAGGGGTAAACGGGCTTGTCCCAATGTCTTAATGTGAATAATCATCATATATTCTCAGGTTTCTTTTATAACCAGAGGGTCTCGACCAACGCAAGTTGCCCCACGTCATTCGAGGTCCCGTCCTCGTCCCTGTTGAGCGTATGTTTCCCTGACCGAATCGAGGTCTCTTGTTGGCACGAACGTCCTGTTGGGAGCTACGGGCCCATGGCCAATGCGGGGGCCCGATCAATGTAAATTGCGGCTCGGCCTTGTCCATGCTTGAGAAATGAACGCCAGAGCTCAGACCGACTTGGAACTGATTGTTCGGTGTTAGTGGCTTTTGGCCAAAATAAAGGAACACGCTGTCTCAGGGATCCCGATCGGTGCAAGAGGCCCTCTAACTGAAATCTCAGGTCAAGGCCTTACTGGCGGGAGTCTTTAATGTAGCCTACAGCCAGCCCTTCCACCCATTCAGTACAGCCACCCGCTGGGGCCCTTGGCCTTTGGTCTTGAGAGACCATTCGGTCCCTCTCCGACCCCCTCAAACACCGCTTCTGGCTGACCCAAGGCCACTCGCCGCCACAGCACCTCTGTTAGGCACTGTGGCCCCTGACCTGCGCAGGAGTCCCTCATTGTCTCAGGGATCGCAAGCATTGCAAACTGCGGGCCTCGGCCTCGTACCTGCGTGGGAAATGTGTCCAAAGGGGCATCCGACCGCTCTCCGGACCTCCTCAGCAAAGTTCGTGATCGACTAGGGGCCACTAGCCGAGACATGACCCCTGTTATGCATGGTGGGCTCTTGACCGACAATGGGGCCCCAACCATTGCTCCAAGGACCCAGACTAACGCAGATCGTGGCTTCCGGCCTTGCTCCTGCTTGGGCATTGGCCCCCAGGTTTCATACAGGCAGGAGCCAACCGTTCAGTGTTCATGATCTCTGGCCGACTTAGTCGCCCGCATTGTCTCAGGGGGTCCTCAAACGGTACAACAGGATCTCTGACTGATATTTCAGGTCACGACCCCACGGGCCGCGATTCTTTATGTGATCCACAGCCAGTTTTTCGGGCCCTTGTGCCCTCCAACCGGGCTTGTCGTCGGTTCCGGTGGGCCGCCCGGGCCTTCTTCAGGCCTCATCGAACACTTTCCTTGATCGGCTCGGAGCCCCTTGGGAAAACAGGGCCCTATGTTAGACGCTGTGGTTCCCTGACACACACAGGGGCCCCGATCAGTGTAAATCACTGGCCCCGGCTTCGTAACTGATTAGGAGTGGGCCCTCAGACCCATACCGACACGGAACCGACAGTGTGGTACTGGTGGTGCCTGACCAACGTATAAAACCACATCTACACAGGGGTCGGCGATCGGCGCGCAGAACCCTCTGACTGTCATTTGAGGGCCCGCTTTTGTAAGCCGGGCGCCCGAATAGGCCCTCGACGAGCCATTCGTGTCCTTAGACCCTCCAATCAGGCCCTTGATCGTCGGGGGCTCTTTGGTTCTTTGGGCCACCCCCAGGCTCTTTGGGCCTCCTCGAACACTGTCTCTGGGCGACGCGGGACCCTTGTGGATACATGGTCCCCGTTGGACTCTATGGGGCTGGAGTCGCTGGAGTCCCGACCGATGTAAATCGCTGACTCTAACCCCCTCCCTTCTCGGCAAATGGACCCACAGGCCCATGCCGCCACGGAGCCGACTGGTGGTGTCTGACGGACGCGCATGCCCTTATCGACTCAGAGGCCCTGATCAGCGCATAAGGCCCTCTGAGTGGCATTAAAGAGCCGGCCCTGCGAGCCGAGGCCTCTGAATATGACCTCCGGCCGCCCTTCCGTGCTCTTTGGGCACTCAAATCGGGCCCTTAATCGTAGGTCCCAAAGGGTCTGAAGGGGCCACTCGAAACCTAAGAGAGGGGTACACGTCCCTTTGGCCGCCCCGCTCACGCTACTGATTAGATGTCTTTTTGCCAGTAATGTATTTACCTGCCATTATGGCAATTACGAGGCCGTTTTTAGACCTGGATTTGATGCAAAATTGACGGAACAATATGTGAATGCATACTGAATGCCGATCTGCCTGGAGGCTGTATGGTGGTCTTAAGTGGTCAGGTTGCCAAAGATGCAGGTTGTATATACCTGAGGCCGTGGCGAGCTCGCGACGTTTTAAGATGGCTTCAATGCATGGTTGATGGAGTAATACCTGCCCGCATGTTTAGCCCTGATAGCCTGGATGATATACGGTGATCTTTAGAGGCTAGGTTACCAAGGTTAGGTTAGGGTGCGTATATCTGATGTCATGGCGAGCACATAGCCGTTGTCAGATAAGAATTTGATGCGTTACTGACCGCGTCAGGCTTGACAACATTTTGTACCTTGCATTGCCCAGAAGACAAATAGTGACCTTTATGGGCTCAAGTCGCCGACGATATCTGTACCTAACACCATGGTGAGTTCGCGACTGTTCGCAAGTTTAGAGCCATGCATTAATGACCGATTTATAAGTGGCCGCATTTTGGGCGCATGCGAGCATTTGTTCCGAATATATAGGTGGTGCTTACTATACGCACATGGTCATGCGCCCCCTCACCCTACAGAGGCAGTAAAATTATCTCTAGGTCCAATGGCCCAAGTTCTTCTGGCAGTGTGAGGCACACGGTGGAGCACTCAACACTTCGCCCGGCGGAAAGATAATCTAAGAGGGTCCAAGCGGCAAGGGAATGTCTTCGTCGCTCAAAGGGCGCTCTTTTCTGTTGCGATGTCCTTTTTAGGAACAAGGGCCATCCTTGATGTCTTGGGGACCTGATTCCCCAGCCAGGTAGCTATCGTGCACGTTGGAGATACTCTACGGGAAGCTGCGGCTGCCAAAAGGCCACTGTGGCACGTTGCCACCGCTGCCTGCAGTACCTCCAGTCCAGGCACCAGGAATCATCTATGCGGGGATGAAAGGCGGCGGGGGGGGGGGGGGGGCATGACAACGTAGGCCCTCGGGTGCTCCAATGAGAGCGTCTATATCGTTCAGAATCGAAGCGTAGCTTACAAATGGTCCCTTACGATATCAATGCAGGACACTCGTGGCTAAGAGAGGCTCTGAATGTACAGTAGCGCTAAGCCCAAAAGCCAATACAGTTGGCAAGCCGTCTCGGCTGTCAAGAGCACACCTGGCCACATCTGTCTCCATTGTGGGTAAAACCCTGGGCACGCCACGAGGGAAACCACACGGAAGGACTCGGGCCCCCTCATGTAAGGCTCAGGCCATGTATACCTCGGCTCTGCAATAGGGTAGCCGAAGTGCGCCCATCATTTCTGGCATAGAGTCTTGAGAAGATGCAATATGACGCTAATGATATAGGGATCTGTACCAATCTGCACCAATCGTACGGTAATGCAGGAAGCGATCGTCAAATAGCATGGCCGCACCGAACGACGTCACCAAGGCTACCGACCGAACGCACCGGGAGATGGGCCGCCACAAAGACGGCACCATCGCCGCGCCGAGTGACGTCACCAAGACACCAGTGACTACCGACCGAACGCACCGGGAGATGGGCCGCCACAAAGACGGCACCATCGCCACGCCGAGTGACGTCACCAAGACACCAGTGACTACCGACCGAACGCACCGGGAGATGGGCCGCCACAAAGACGGCATCGTCGCCGCGCCAGTCAGAAAAGGCCCGTTCTAATAGTGTTCTGGATATTCAGGCACTTCGGCTGCGCGGTCCTATGACGGTCATGACGTGTAAAAGAACAGCTCACTCTACCAATTTCAGCAGGTGCAGTGCGCGCCCGGTACGCATCGCATTCGGCCGGCTCTGGCTGTACTGGTGCTCGAGTGGACCCGGCTACGCTGCGACACTTGTCATGTGCCACCCTTCTCAAGCCGAGGAATGACACCGGGCGATGCATGCCCGCGTTGTCCCGTGCGTACGAAAGCTGGCGAGCCACTGAGAGGCCGGGCCGTCCACATTCTCCTGGGCCAACTGCCCGGTCTTTGTACCGCGCCATTCGAAGAGAGCGAAAGCGTTAACTTACCACCTAAACTGACCATACAAGAGCTCGACGATGCAGAAGCACGCATGGGAGAAGAGGGACGTACGAGAGGCAGCTGGCTCCATGTTATAACCCCTGCACGCTGCTATCGCGCAGCAGGCAATTAATAACACCTTATTGCTGACATGCCCGCGAAATACACTGAAACCTGGTTACTCTATTTCACTGCATCTAGGATGTTTCAAATAACTCACAAGGGCACAGCCAGGTCAAACAAGAAACAAGCATCCGACAGGTGAGCTGGATTTATTCGAGGTGCCGCCATCCCCTGATATCAGTAAATATATAGTCGAACACACACCACGCATTAAACGCCGTTTTGTCTCAGTTACTTATATTACAATAGACAGAATGTACAACGAGCTACTAATTTAATACTCAGTACAAATCAGCTAATGCGTAACAAAACTGGGAAGAGCATCACGCGCTGCAACTATGTGCATGCCATCCCCACGACGGACGCAATAACATCACGTGAGCCCATCTCACAAACAAATAGCATCGACGCCCCGAAACTGAGTGCACTACTCCGCAGGGTCCCGACAGCTCACATGCTGCATACGTCGTAGCCAGCATGAACAGGAGCCGGGGCCCTGTCGTTACGTGGCGCCAGTGGGTCCAAGTGGCGCGAGGCGACCAGGAAGCTGCCGGACGAGCTGGGCACGGCACCACCGGCAGCGGCGCCGTGTCCGCCTGCTGTTGACGGCCCACGCGGACTCTCCGGTACTGTCAGGCGCCTTCCAAAGGCAACACCGCACTGACAACATATGGAGGGTGGGGAGGCACTCGCATTGGTGCACCCAATCACTTTGGAGGCGACGAATATAACCCAGCGCAGCGCCAAAGGCTTCAACACAGAGACGTCGCAGATTTGCAGTCAAATGATTAGCGTAGCTCTGCTCAGTGGAAGTGCACACCACCCCACCGATCTGATCCGAGCAAAGCACACAATCGCACCGCTGTTCGCCCGAGTAGTGCGTTCAGAAGGGTGGTCTGCTTTTGAGCACTTGTTAAAGCTCAAGCAACATCAAGAAGAGCAGAAAGAGTGCACACGCACATACAAAAGCACACGCACACGCACACGCACACACACACACCACACACGCACACACGCACCGAGTGCCGCGCAGTGGACCTGAGCGCCGCCAGCCTGCGAGGGGCCCAGCCGCCCATCCGCCGCTCGCTTTGGCACTAGTTACAACGCGCGCCGACCGTCGCGCCGCGTCCGCTCCTTCCAGACGTCACTTCAGCTCCGCTCCCTCGGCGTCTATCACAGAAGTCGCTCTGTGCGCCGCCGGGTCCTCGGAGGATGCGCTCGGTCGGCCGGACTCCAAAGAGGACGCACTCGGTCGGTCGGAGTCCTCGAAGAACGCACTCGGTTGGCCGGTCCTCGGTGTACGCTCTCGGTCCGCCGAGGTCCACAGAGGGTGAACGCGCTCAGGACCGAGTCCTCGGAGGACGCGCTCGATCGGCCGGCGTCCCCGAAGCACGCGCTCGATTGGCCCGAGTCCTCGGAGAACGCGCTTGGTCAGCTGGCGTCCTCAGAGGACGGACTCACTCGGTCAGCTCGAGCCCTCGGAGGACGCACGCCCACCCCGGATGCACTGGGTCGCGCCGCACCGCAGCTGGCGCGCTGTGCGTCAGCGGACAGCAGTCAGAGCCAAGGCAACGAACGGCCCTTCTGAGCAGCAGCGCCCAGCCCACCGTCGCACGAACCATGTTGTCCGCAGGCACCTCCAGTGCCACAGATGTCGCCACTATCACTCAGTCGAGAGGTCTTTGAGCAGCGTGGACCGCGCGTTCTTCAGCTTGTCTAGACGCTTTTGCAGGTGGCTGTTCGTGGTTTCTAGTTCGTCCACGCGGGTCAGGGATTCTCGAAGCTGGAAATAAAATCACAACACTATCATACGGCCACCGCAGTGCGGCCTTTTGCCAGCATCGGGCATCGAAGATGCGCTGCTTCGATCTAGCCGGTCACTGGCGACGTCCGAAGGCGAGAGGCCACAGGCAGTGATGTTCCCGGCTACCAAATAACGATGACAATCCGGGACGTTTCAACATATATCTTAATGGGTTCGTCACCAGAGTATGCCAATAGAGCGTAATTTGTTAGTCTAAACTACGAACATCCAGCTAAACAACTTGGGACGCGTTCCAAAGGAGCACCCTGCAACATATCTCAAGCAGTTTGCACGGGACCTATGTCAAGCACAGAGGTGCTACAAGACAGCACGAGGCCGGCTACCAAACAAGCTAATCTACACACACAGACGGCATCATACGGGCTACATCTGGCCGCCGCCGCGGGCGAGCACTGTCGGGCAGACTACCTCGGCACGCCCAGCAGACCACCTCGGCACACCCAGCAGACCACCTCGACACACCCAGCAGACCACCTCGGCACACCCTGCAGACTACCGACGTACATACAGGAACCACCTCGGCACACCAATCCCCGTACAACGCAGGCGGCACAGGCAAAGACGGCGACACCAGCCAGAAAGTAGCGAAGCTTATCAGCCGGCACACACGAGCCCGACGCTGCCACAGCGGACAATGAAACCGCGCCTGTATGCAGGCACCCGTGACCATACGCCAGGCGGGGTCACCGCGACGGGACCGGAGCTACAGGCGGACATCCTTCACGTCACACCAGGCGGGCGTCACCGCGACGGGACCGGAGCTACAGGCGGACATCCTTCACGTCACACCAGGCGGGCGTCACCGCGACGGGACCGGAGCTACAGGCGGACATCCTTCACGTCACACCAGGCGGGGTCACCGCGACGGGACCGGAGCTACAGGCGGACATCCTTCACGTCACACCAGGCGGGCGTCACCGCGACGGGACCGGAGCTACAGGCGGACATCCTTCACGTCACACCAGGCGGGGTCACCGCGACGGGACCGGAGCTACAGGCGGACATCCTTCACGTCACACCAGGCGGGCGTCATCGCGACGGGACCGGAGCTGCAGGCGGACAACCTTCACGTCACACCAGGCGGGGTCACCGCGACGGGACCGGAGCTACAGGCGAACATCCTTCACGTCACACCAGGCGGGCGTCACCGCGACGGGACCGGAGCTACAGGCGGACAACCTTCACGTCACACCAGGCGGGGTCACCGCGACGGGACCGGAGCTGCAGGCGGACATCCTTCACGTCACACCAGGCGGGGTCACCGCGACGGGACCGGAGCTACAGGCGGACATCCTTCACGTCACACCAGGCGGGCGTCACCGCGACGGGACCGGAGCTACAGGCGGACATCCTTCACGTCACACCAGGCGGGGTCACCGCGACGGGACCGGAGCTACGACTCGACCCCAGGGGAGATGCGGACACGAGCGGGTCACACCAGGCACACACACACGGCAGCAGCTGCCATCGGACCGAGAGGCGTTTAGAGCCGGCGGAGCCGCTGTTGGCGCTCCATGGTCTTCTTAGCGCTGTCCAGTTCGTCTGCCTTCTGCAGGGTCTCGCGGAGCTGGCGGCCCGCCGTTCCAGGTCAGCCAGCCCGGCAGTCACCCCAGGCCATTCCAGGTCAGCCGGCCCAGCGCCATCCAGGTCATCTCAGGTCAGCCGGCCCAGCCGCCTCCCCAGGTCATCCCAGGTCAGCCATCCCGGCCGTCACCCCAGGCCATCCCAGGTCAGCCGGCCCAGCGCCATCCCAGGTCATCTCAGGTCAGCCAGTCCGGCCGCCTCCCCAGGCGGCCGGACTGGTCACCTCAGGCCAGCCAGCCCAGCCGTCACCCCAGGTCATCTCAGTTCAGCCAGCCCAGCGCCATCCCAGGTCATCTCAGGTCAGCCAGTCCGGCCGCCTCCCCAAGTCATCTCAGGTCAGCCAGCCCAGCCGTCACCCCGGGTCATCTCAGGTCATCTCAGGTCAGCCGGCCCGGCCGCCTCCCCAGGTCATCTCAGGTCAGCCGGCCTGGCTGCCACCCAGTTCAGTCGCCGGTCACAACAGTACATGACATCACTTAGCTGGATTCCCCATATTGCCAGACAGGGGCTGATGTGGGCTGTGATCAGCCCCATGTGACGCACCAGTGCCGGCACAGATCTACAGCATAATACAAATAGATAGGAATAACTACAAAACAAGAGCGATCGCAATATCTGGTGTCAATCATTTACGACGGATCATAACCTCGAAAATCAAATATCCTGATTAGTTCCCATCAGTCGAAGAAAAACAATCCCTTTGGGCATGAGTGACGGCGTAGGTCAGTGAGCGGCGCACGTGTGACGCGCCCGGCCTCTGACGGCCGCGCACCGAGACCACCCCACCCGGGCCCGCCTCCCACCTCTCTCTGCAGCTTGCGCTTCTCTCCCTTGAGCTCCTCCTCGGACTTCTCGGCCGTCTCCGCCGCCGACTTGTAGCGCGCCACCTGGTTTTCCAGTCGCTGCACCTGCGGGGGCCGGCCGGGGCGGGTCACGCGCCACGTCACTGTGACCAGCGAGGAACACGCGTCCTAGCCCCGCTCAGATGGCGCCACACTCGGGGCCAGCCGTCCAGCGCCGGCGCACAGACAGCAGTGACTGCGGCACAATCAGCCGGGGCGGTCACGCCACCCAGAGCCGCCACAAAACGTCATCAATCTTCCGACACACATGGGTTCGCCAAGACGAGCCGTCGTGTACGCGTGACCGTCCCCAGCCTCACGTGACCAAACAGTCCGCAACCACTCCAGCCCTGAGCCCAGCGGCACTTCCCTCCCCTCCTCCCATTCCAGCTGAACTGGCTGGGAACGGAGCACGGCTGGCTCCATGCTCGGAGTCGCCATCCCCAGATCGGCCGCACTACTCACGGCCGTCTGCAGGTTGGTGATGTCCTGGTCAGCCTTCTGCAGCTTGAATCTGTACTCGCCCACTTGTCTGGCCACCTCCCCTGCGAGATGGACGGGAACAGCGTCAGCGCGGCCACACTGGCCAGCGTACCAGACGCCGCGGGGCAGCGGCGGTGGAGCCAGCGCATGCGACGGTGGCGGCCAGCGGCGGTGGTGGAGCGCGCGACACTCGGATGGATGGGGCGCGCTCCAGCGGCGAGGCCAGCAGCCGGCCCGTGCCCGATGGCGATGTTCGGATGGGCTGCAGCGTCTCTCCACCAAACTCGCACGAGTCTATCCATGCTTTACGCCAAGGGATGTCCAGCGAAGAACAGAAACGGCGGATGCAGCTTGCTTTGCTGCCGATTTGCGTCGAAGGGAGGCACCAAAGGCAAGGTTATCCGGTGTCTACGAGCCTCTGCAACCGTTCCCGCTACGGCTGTGCGGTCAGCCGTCGTTAGAGGTCACGACCACCCCACCACCGCCTGCTGGCGTGGTTACAGAATACTGACGCTGCACTTGGTCGGACTCGGCGCCGGAGCCGGTGCCCGAGATGCGGGCGCGCGCGTTCATGTGCCGCTCCTCCTCCAGCTCCAGCTTCAGTCGGCGCAGCTGGTCCTCCAGCTCATTCTTCTCCTCCCCCAGACGTCGCAGACGACTGTCTGTAGAGACACGGAGACAGGACCATCGGACACTGATCCCAAAGGAGGCTAGAGGCTGCCTAGGCGGACACGGCAATAAGTCGGTCACTGCACAGACCATGCAAGGCGAAGATGACTGTCTCTGCAGACAAGTGGAAAGGACCGTCGGACGCTGGATAACATTCACACGTGACATATGCCAGAAAGTCCAGCGCTTAATATAACCGAAACATTAGACACAGCCTTTCTGACGGGAGTCTTCAAACAGATAGCACACAGAGCGCGCAGACACCACCATGCGTAACATACAGTCAGCGCCACCATACAGCGGGCTCTAGCCGCCTCCATGCCCGGCTACAACGCACGCCTTCTGGTCCGTTCCGATTGCCGGCCGACGGTGAGACGGCGTGCTCACCGAGCGTGCCGCCACCGGCCTTGTCCAGCAGCTGAGCCGCACCATGCGAGACGAGCGCCTTCTGCGGCCGCTGACCGGCAGCAGGTGCCTCCGACTCCGACCCCTCGTCCTCGTCGTCCCCGACCAGCACCAGACCGTTCTCCTGGGGAGGTACCGAGGGTAAGACCGGTCACACGTCTGGCCAGCACGCCCTGTTGCCCAGCGCATGGCACGGAGGATAAGACAATCAGAAAAATAATAGCGAACCGCCCGCCGCCATCCCACAACTTATTGTGAAAAGGCCCGCCGACTAATCACGGCACACACCGGTCGGGTCTCAACTGCTTCCCCTCCCGGTACGCCTCACTTAGAACACAGGCTGTCCCCCGCGCGTAACATAAGTCGCATCAGCGTCGTCACACGAGGATGTTGCCGAAGTTTGCTCTGAGCAACATAACGCCATGCCGCCCGCTGCGCACCACTAACTAGTCGACAGCCCGTGTCAAACGGACCGTGGATTTGGTAGCAGTGGTCCAGAGGCAAAGTGCCGCGAACGACCTCTCGATCGTCCATGCATGAAGAACATTGACACACAAAGACGGCGCCACATCATTTCGCTGACCTCTATTAACTTGTCGCGTTCCTCCAGAAGCTTTTTGCAACATTCGAAGTCTTCCTTTAGCCTGTTAGATACCCGCTTCAATTGTTCGTGCTCACTGCAGCGGGTCCGGTGTTCTCGCTGAGGAATAAACGACAGGTCAAACATGCCGAACATGGCACGCGGCCTGCAGTACAACTAGATCAAGCCAACTGCGATGACCATCTCGCTTTCAGCAGAAAGCAGACAGACTCCTGTAGGGTACGCAAGCGCGCTAAATTGGTGCGAGGACACGGCCTCTTTCCCAATGCTATCGATCACTACGCCCGACTACGGCCCTGAATTCCAGTCATGGCGTTGTCCGTAGCTGAGGCCGTAGCTTCAGATGGCAGGCGTCCGCGTGACGGGCGGCGGCCTACGTCCGGCCCGGAGGCGAGCGGCGTGCGGCGGAGAGGGCGACGCTACCGGGCCATCGCCGCCCGGGTCTCCCGAGCCGCGTCGCACACACACCTGCAGCTGGGTGTGCGACTCCTGCAGCTCCTCCAGCTTGTCCTTGAGCAGCTCCACCTGGTAGTTGAGCGTCGACTTGTCGTTATCCAGCTGGGCTGAGGTGACCATCGTCTTGCGCAGCTTCTCCTCTAGCTCACGCAGCTCGTGCTGGGGGCGGGGTGGGGCGGGCGCGTGAAGACGCAGCCACTACGGCGCCGGACGGCTGCCGGCCAGCGGCGCTGCCGCCCGTCAGGCGTCCGACCCGCGGCTCCGCCGGCCGACGGCGGGCCCGGCCGTGGCAGGCAGCCTCACGGGGGCAAGACACCAAACACTGGGCAAAGCGCCGTACGAGCACAGGCGCCGCTGCTGTACTGGCGGCCAGACCCGACAGCACGGCTGCACACCAACGCCTCTCACTGACGTTCAGCCACTAAGACGAGACAGCCATCCCAGGCCAGCTGGATCCGGATGTTTCGATGTAGGCATCAGCCTTAGTCCAACCCCTCATCCTCCGGCCTTAGTCAAAGGCCGGTCTCAAATGTGCACCTCTTCCCATCACGGCCACCGCCACATGCGATTCGAGACGCTCACGAACACAACAGCCCGAACAGTCGCAGCTAGCAGCAGAGTGGCCTCGGTCTGCGGTGAGCGCAGTGTCAGGTGACTCGGGCCCAGCTCGTCCCCGTCAGTCGTGGCGTGACCCTGAGCTGGCCGGTCATACCCTCAGCGTGAGTTCATACTGCCCCAGTCAATTATGCCATGACAGTGACCGGTTGTGAGCCCGGCGGCTGCTCACCCTGACGTCGCGCAGGTGAAAGCCGCCAGCAGACGAGCCGTCTTCGGCCGAGTCCTCGCTGCTGCGGCGGCCCACCGCCGAGCCCACGCTGGGGCCGCGTGGAGTCCGCGCGGCCGCCACCGACGGCGACGGGCGCGTCGGCACGTCTGGGAACGGACACGGTGTGAGCAGCGGCGTCAGACAAGACGACACGAGACGTGCTGGTGCGCCGCCTCACGCCAGACAAACGGCATGAGACGTGGCGGCGCCTCGTCTCACCAGACGAGACGGTATGAAACGTACCGGCGCCCCGTCTCACGCCAGACAAGAGGGCGTGAGATGGGGCGCCAGATGAGGCGGCGTGAGACGAGACGGCGCCAGACGGGGGCCTAACAGGATTGCATGGGAGGGAACAAGGGACGAAGAGGCGTGAGACTGGATATGGGATGAAATGGCATGAGCGACGCCTCAGTCACGTAGCGTGCGACAGGACCGGGATGGAACTGTGCGAGAGCGCATAACAGCGCAACGTGAGCAAACAGGTACGAGGACAACGAGGACAAGCTGAAACAAAGACGCACTACAAGACAAACGGGAGGACACGGCGACATATCGGAGGGTCCCGCAGCTTTCGGGGGGGGGGGGGGGGCGGGGGTCACGCGCACAGGTGGCAAGGACGTGTCAGCAGTGGATCGAGCAGCCAACTGCGCACGCATAACAGCAGACCAAACAACATGATGCGTAACAGCTGCGACACACCTGGCGGCTTTCAGCTGCCAGACGAAGCGAGGCTCGACGGCAGCTTCCAATTGTGACAGGTACGATTGCTATGAACTGACCCACGATGCTGCTTCGCGGCAAGATCGGCGCATTCTCGTCCGGGGCAATGGGCCCGTGCGATCCCACACCCACAAACCTGAAGTAAGCGGCACTGGATCTTCTTTGTTATTGAGCGATTCCACCTGACCTGGAGCCCGGCGGACCAGCCACAACAGAGGCCGCGGCGACGGCACAGGCGACGGTGACAGCGTCACACCGCACCCTTCGCCTTAAAGGACTATCACGTGCAACACCTCTCCAAAAATGCAAGGCAATGCGAGAAATCAGATCACTCGCACCCCCTGGACACGCAGCTAAGAATGGTTGGCGTGTTTCGGTCGCCAGTACAACGGGTATTCTTTCGTATAACTGAAGAAGACATTCTAGAAAATTAAAACCCTATACGAAGATCCCGAAAATGATAACCAGTTAAAAAAGTCCGCAGGGCTTTCGAGTTATTAACTGTGTCTTTGCTCTTTGCTGTCTAAGGTTGTTAAAAACATGCATTCATAGCTGTAGACATTCATCTGCCCGTCAAAAGCATACAAGGCTATTCAAAATTTAATCAAGACAGCAAATCTGGACATAAAAATAAATGCTTGACATATTTCAGAACAGCTTCTTGACGCGGGGCCTCGGTAATTTCTTCGAGACCTTTCCGCTGCGCTGTAACTTAGGCGATTGAATCGGCACGCCAGGCGCGGTGACGCCCTGAGCACCTCGCGTCCGGCTGGCCGCGGCACTGAATCACCCGATACCAGCGACGCGACGGCTCGGCCACGGTTTACATAGTTCGGCAATGGTCTTTCACCACATCATCGTTTGCTTGCATATGAACCGTGCGGGCGTTTCACTGGAGCAGCGTTGACAAGGGCAGCGGGTGCGGCTCCACCTGGCCGGGCCGCTCATTAGGCGCCGCATGGGCCGCCTGGCGCTGACTCACACTCGCACACCGGCGGCCGCCACACGTGTGTCGGCAGCGACGACCCCAATCAGGCGGCGCTTGTCAACCCGCGGCCGCGACCGGCCGCTGCTGCGCGGCGCTGCGGGCCCGGCCGGCCGCAGACCCTGGCAGCACGGAGGCCGACGATGCGGCGGCGCGTCAACACAGCTGGTGCGCCAGTCCGGCGGCCCAGGGCCGGCTCCCCGCACAGCGAACGTGTCGAGTATTCCTGTCAGCGCGTCGCGGCGCCATTGCATGGGCGACGCCGACTCCCCGCAAAACATGGCTGGGAGATGCTGCGTGCGTGCGTGCGTGCGTGCGTGCGTGCGTGCGTGCGTGCGTGCGGGTGTGGATGTGGTTGGTGACAGCGTCAGCCAGTTGGGCAGTGGCTGTGAAACGTCAGAGGAGGTGTGATAAGACGGTACCCTGGTGGTCGGGGCGGCCTCGGACGTCAGAGGAGGTGTGATGAGACCAGGGAGCTATAATCGCTTTTAAACTAGGGTGAGAGTGAAAAATTCCATCGCAAGAAGACCATGCGGGAGTGAAAAAATCACATAAAAAGATGGAACTTGAAAAAGATGCGCTCGTGACTGATGCTTCAGCAACAAAGACGTCTATTTCAAGTTGGCATAGACGTAATATCAGGAACCTGACAAAACCATTTCGTTTTTTAACATCTTAGGCCATAAAAGTGAAACAGAATACATTAACACGCGTTCGGGTGGGGGTGGGGGGCAAATTGACCCCCCCCCCCCCCACCCGAGGGCTTTTCCCGAATGGTTTCTGAACGGCGCGGCGTAGCCGCGCCACTTTTTGCACAGCTGTACAAAATTGCATAGCGGATCGTTTGACATACAAATTTTAGATGTACCTTGTACGGTCGCTGACCTATGACAAGTCAAAGTCAGCCCACGGTTTCCGCGAATGCAATCTCTAGGGAATCGTTAAATCTGATACAACGGAGCGTTTGACGAAGACGTACATCTCTGAGATGCTTTCTTAGGCACCACAACTATTGAATGAGCAAATTACGTTAACCTAAGGTCAGGGATGATGGTCAGACCAAGGTCAAAACCAACCTGATTTATTACTCCAGGGTTTGTTGTATGGGATAGTTTCTGGTGCTCATTGCGAATTTAACGACAGCAGGAACCGCATTATACATCTTCAATTGGCTTCTTAGAGGTCAGAACAGGCCATTGACCTAAAATGACCCGGGTCGAACGTTTTGCTTTAGGGACATACTGCCTAGTGTAATCTTTGGCGCTAATTCAAACGCAAAACCCAGATGTCTTGTATCATTTTGGTCACCATGACCTTTAAAGGGTCAAACAAGGTCAATGATTTCAAATGGGCTTGTTGACTTTTCCTTAGAGACAGTTGCCTAGGTTCTGGGGGCGCTTTGGAGACCAACCTGGAATTTGATCTTGTTTGACCTTATTCGACCTGAAGGTCATGACCTAGGAAGCTAAAACCATAACCTAAGTGAGTTCACATATAGGTCAAGACACCCTGTAAAGTTGGTGTCTCTAGCTTTCTTAGTTCCCGAGCGCTCAGAGGGGGGGGTCAAATTGACCCCCCCCCCCCCCCCACCTGAGCAAAGGGTATCTAGCCGGCCAACCAGGAGCGTGTTAAAGCATAGTAATTTCATGACAGTATTATGAACATAACAAATTAATAACACCAATAATTTGATGCTACACTTTTCAATTCCCTTCTACAGCACTTTTAAAACAAAACGGAGCAAAGGAATTCAATAACAAAACATTAACAGAAAATTCAACAAGCAAAAACACTCAAACAAAAAAACTTTGGACTCCTACACATCAGCCCATCACCAAGTTAAACACAATAGACATACTTCTGGCTTCTGTTAAGATGGGGCCAGGGAGAACAAACATTTTGTCACTGATTCTTACAAAATACCAATGCTTATTTTCCTCAAAGTAGTCTATGCCTAACCTAAAGAGGCCTTACATCATTTCATCCTGTATAGCCTGTTTGTATCACAGCAGCAGTTGTGACTTACTGATTCTTGCACAATTCCTGTTGCCACTTGCCATGCACTTGTCCAATTTAACCTAACTTAGAGTAGCCCATATGATGAACACTATCTCAACTCAGCTATCTGTTGACAGCAGCACTTGTGATAACAACACAATATTTAAAGCTAGTTTTTGGCTGGTTCCAACTTGCATTTTTATTCAGTTCATTTGTGTATGCTTGTTAACATCACACAAAGTTGACAACACACAAATCAAAACACTTTAAATCACTTTGAACAACTTATTTTGATTGTCATGGTTAACCTATGTCAAGGGCAATAATGGGCATGCTACACAAAACAATCTCTCTTCTCCAAAAATAACAATGTTTAGATGACCATGTCAGTATTGCTGCTTGCCTTTTCAGCTGCAGCAAATGCATCCATTTGGGCTTGTTTATTCATATTTAATGACAAAGTTTGAGATGTTGGCCTCACATTTTAAATAGGGTGGTCTGACTATTTGTTACATACCAATATTTAACTCATATTATAATTGCTATTCAGCTTAGAGTATCCCTCTGTTAAAAATATAGTGTATACATACAGTACAGTCATTTGCCAGTCAGCAAACCAAGACAACTATAGAAAGTATGTGGTTAAAGCAGTCATAAAGGACCACTTTAAGAAATTTGGGGCAAATAACCAAGACAATGGAACAAAATAAGCCCATTACATGCCTTGTGGCATCATAATTGGCAACAATGTGGCAACATACTTGTCTTATGGCAAAACTCGATGCATTACAACAAAAAAGCAACATACTTGTCTTATGGCAAAACTCGATGCATTAAAACAAAAAATGGCTAACTCTGGTTACCAATCATGTGTTGAAAGCCGGTAAGGCGGGCAATTACTTGGTCCACAAGAGACTTACTGGCTTCTTCCTGCTCCCCCAAAAACAAAACAAAAACCAGTACCTTTTGCATGGTCTGCTGGCAGACCATGCAAAAGGTACTGAAGTCATCCGACTCACTTCCCAACTATAAATATCGATCATGCCCACCAGCCTTCGAGATTAAAATGTGAAACAAGTAGGATGTGTGCATGATCAACATCACCAAAGGGCAGAATTTCGCCATAAAAACACTTCTGTATTAGCTGCATCAGGTCTGTCCCAAGGCTCTTTATGGCAGCATCTATTCTAATGCTAATGCCTTGCCAGGTAGCCTGGTGAGTCAGATACTCGAAAGGCTTGGATTTATCATTACTGAACACCGCCATGAACCAAGAAAACGGTTAACCGAGGGTTTAAGAGGGCAAAAATGTCGGTAAAATAAGTTCCGTGCTTCCAATTATCTCCTTCATTCCCTGTGAATTGTTCACGCTCGGGTGCATATCAAACATGTTCGGGCGGCTGG